CCGCACGGCTGCACCCCACACCCACCTGAGTGCCCACCCCCGCACGTGCCAAACCAGGGGGGCCTTCCAGGCGATGATTGTTGTCTAGGTGTCAGCCCTCCCATCGGACCCTTGCTATCCTTGCCCCTCGTTCCCCTCCAAGCTGATCCATGCAGAAGCCATTGATGCGGGATGTCCGCCGCTTTGGACATGGGTTTCATTGACTGTAGTACTGTCTTTGTCCATCGAGCCCTGACGGCTGGCTACTAGGCATATGACAGACCCGCCAGCACCTGACCATTCGGTCATCCGGATGCGTTGCCTAACCGGTCCACTATGAGACACCCTCCCACCCTTACTCGTCATTGCGGTCCCCGGCGCATCCCTACTCCCAAGGTCCTACCTGAGTAGACCCAGTATCATCACCCATTCTAGCGATCTATGACCGGACCATTTCTGCTTAAACCACCAATATGTTTCCCAGCCATTTTTCTCCGACACTGTTTGCATGCTGCTGCAAATTTCGGGGGTTGACAGCCCAAGCAAAATGGCTGCCGGCAATACCGTCTTCACCCGAATAAAACGCCCGGTCATTATCGCTGCATCTGGACCGAAAGTTGTGCCAGATACAGCTATAATGACCGGGCGTTCTATTCGGGTGAAGACGGTAGTCTAAACAAGAAACAAGGCCCTCACCATTTCGTTTTTTCTTTTTTTGCAAGGGTTCCACGCACGCGTTTGGAGCCCTGGGTAAAAGTGGCTCGGAAGTACTGGTGGTTTAAGAGAGGCGCCTAAAAAAGAGGCGCCAAAAAAGGAGGCACCTTAGACTGGAAAAGAAAACAAGGACAGAAAAACAAAAACAAAAAAAAAGACAGATGCCTCACTGCCCTGGGGAAAGAGTCTTCTTGCAAATGAAAAAACTGGTCTTCTTCCCAAATCTATGGGACATTGCAACAGCCTCTTTTCTTTTCTTTTTTTTTTTTTTTTTTTTTTTTTTTTTTTTTTTTTCCCTTTTCAATGACAGCCTCATTTGAATCGAGCGAAGAATGGGAAACACCTAGCTCAGGTGGTAAAGCACGCAAGTGGCATTCAGGAGGTCTGGGGTTCAATCCCCATCGGCCTCATGTACCTTCCTGGGCAAGCTTGGTGCCCGCCACCTAGAGATATGCCGTTCGTCCCCCCGAGTGGCATCGAGCAGAGACTGCTGATGTTCATAGGGTAGGGGGCGGGGCGGGAGGGGGAAGCGGAGGGGAGGCACAGCGGCTGGCCCATTGGAGAAGCTTAGTCCTGATGCTACCGGCTGTGACTCCTGGCCGGTATCTCCCACCTGCTGTAGCAGGTATTGCACCTGCTGGCGGGTACAACTCCCGCATGTTCCCTCATTGGAGGCTTGAGCACGGATGTGGCTGCTACGGGGTTCCCCGTTAATGACAATAAACAAGGCCTGAAAGGCCGTCCTGTCCAGATTCGACAGGTAATTGAATTGGTTGGGCTTACACCCAAAAAAAAAAAAAAAAAAAAAAAAAACGCTTGCCAAGATCACATCAGGTCAGGTGACATACGGATGAAGATATGGCACGAGTAAACAGAAAATTCGAGCTAGTCACAAAACCAAAACACAGTTTTCACGAGGCCACAAAATGAAAGAAAAAGGTGATTAGGAAAGGGATCCCTGCACTAAACTTCCTAAAGAAACACAGTTTTCACGAGGCCACAAAATGAAAGAAAAAGGTGATTAGGGAAGGGATCCCTGCACTAAACTTCCTAAAGAGGAAAGAAAAATGTGGCCATGGGAAGGTCATTCAGATGGGATTTCAGGTTAAGAACAATGATGAGGCTGGGAGTGAGTGATATAGGATTGATTCAAGCACATATATGCACACAATGCTGGGGGAGCTGCCCGGACGCACACACACACGCACATGCACGCGCGCACGAGAGAGAGAGAGAGAGAGAGAGAGAGAGAGAGAGAGAGAGAGAGAGAGAGAGAGAGAGAGAGAGAGAGAGAGAGAGCTGCAAAGATAGAATTTGAAGAATTGATATATGTCCTTTGGTCGAAGGAACTCTGACCTACGTTACAATATCGATGAGCTTCCTGTTTTCTCTAAGTGGGAAAGTTGTCTACACATTAAATAGGGAGTCAATGAGTCCGAACTGTGAACTTCTTGGTATAAAGAAGTGTCAAGGGCGGTCCGATACCGAAAGGAAAAAATTCAAAAGATCTCAAGAAACTCTGTACAGGTGGGATCTAGAGGTGTCTGTCTGTATGTCCGTCTGTCATGTCTTCCCCTCCTCGTCCTCAGATACCCTGATCGGCGGCGTTTGCTACTTGAATACTCGTACGAGGACGGAAAGTCCTTCGTGTCCAAGGTACGAATCCACTTCTTCTTCAACCACTTCGGCATTTAGCTGCTCGTAAAAAAGGACTGAAAATTTCTGGTGTCTGTGGTTCGAACCCACTTCTCCTTGATCAGTTTCGCCATTTAGCCTATCTATCAACTGAAACGACTAAGGCAAATGAAATGACTAGAGTACTACGATACTTCGCGTCACTATTTTGCGTATCTACCCCTGAAATAACTTCGTCTTACAGTCTTTACCAGAACCATTCGTTCCCCTCCTCCTCATCCTTGGGTACCCTGGTCGCTGCTCGAGTACTCGTGGTGTCCGTGGTTCGAACCCACTTCTACTTTAACAACTTTGTCATTTAGCCGATCTATCACTGAAACGACTAAGTCAAAAGAACGGACTGGAGTAGTGCGATCACTTTGCATCACTATTTTGCGTATCCACCCCTGAAATAACTTTGTCTTGCAGTCTACACCGGAACCATTCGTTCCCCTCCTCATTCTTGGGTACTCGTACAAGGACTGAAAATCCTGGTGTCCGTGGCTCGAATCCCTGAAATAACTTTGTCTTACAGTGTTTATCAGAACCATTTGTTCCCCTCCTCCTCGTCCTTGGGTACCCTGGTCGCTGCTCGAGTACTCGTAAAAGGACTGAAAATCCTGGTATCCGTGGTTCGAACCCACTTCTACTTTAACCACTTCGCCATTCAGCTGAGTTGTCACTAAAATAAGCTGAGTCAAATAAAATGGCGGATCTATTTTGCGAATCTACCCCTCGTCACTTTGTGTCACTATTTTGCGAATCTACCCCTGAAATAAATTTCCTCTATACAGTCTTCAGACTCTATACCGGAATCAATCGGAATTATTTTTTTTACTGGAGGTCTGAATTACTACTGCATCAGTTATAACCTGAAAGCAAAAAAAAAACAAAAAAACAAAAAAAAAACTACTAACATACAGTACTTGGGTACTAGTACCTATTTAGTACTTGTCCGATACAGATGACCTTTCTCCAGGAGTATACTCTTGTCAATACCGTCTTCACCCGAATAGAACATAGGATCATTTTCACTGCATCTGGACTGAACGTTGGGACAAATACAGATATAACAACCGTACGCTCTATTCCGAGGAGGGGTAGACAGCAGCAAAGTGATAAAAGGTTTCCTACCGTGGGAAAAAAAAACCCCGTGTAGCAACGACTTTAAATTGGTCTTAACAAAATAACGGAGCCGATAATACAAAGATCCCTTTTTCAAAATCAAACGCACACAAAAAAAAAACAACAGAAAACTATGACCATGCCCTGTGTAATAATGTCTGAAGACTGTCAAGAGATGAATGGCACAGTCCCTAACAAAGGTGAAAAAGGAGCCCCCCCCAAAAAACAGACAAAAAAGAAAAAAACTTAAAAAGACATCTTTCTACGCTCAGGACAGTATCCAACCCTCCCCTTGCATCTTTTGACCCTACGTCAACCGTCCGCCTTTCAGGGTTTAGGCCCTTTAGGGTTTAGGGTTTAGGGTTTTCGGGTCTACACTGGTTAACCGGCACCCTTCCTACTTAACTCCGCTGCCGTTTTTTCTACTTAAGGACACACTCAACAGTGCAGCTAGTAGTTTGAGGATTTGTTGGTTTAGAGTTCAAACCCAGGGTTGGGCTTTTGGTTAAATTACTAAATTGATAATCTCTGCACACTTTTTTGACTTAACTAAGTTAACTGAGTTAACTCTGCCGCCACTGAAGGACACAGTCCACAGTGCAGTTAGTTTGAGAATTTGGAAGTTCGGAGTTCGAACCCTACAGTTTACTTACAGACATTGGACTTTCAAACTTCCAGCATACTTTTTTTTAACTTGACCTCATACTCTTCAACTGTTAACACAGAGTTCGAACCCTACATTTTACTTACAGACATTGGCGGCATACTTGTTCACACTTCTGCACTGTTCTCTGTACTTTTCTCTCAATTGTTCTCGGCACTATTCTACATAATGATCAAAACCTTCCTCAATGTTTTCAGCAGTATAGTCGGTACTCAGCATCACACTGAGTACTCCTCTCCACTATACTCCGTACTCTTCAGCACTATATTTAGCACTCTTCTTACATCCACTATACCCAGTACCTTTCTCCCCATCAGCACTATATTTAGCACTCTTCTTCAGAATAGTCTGCACTACATCCACTATACTCAGTACCTTTCTCCCCATCAGCACTATATTCAGCACTCTTCTTCAGAATAGTCTGCACTACATCCACTATACTCAGTACGTTTCGCCTAGCTTTACTCAGCACTCTTCTCCACTATACATAGCAGCTGTACTCAGTACTCTGTGCAAATGTACTCAAGTGTACTCAAGTCTCTTCACCCAGTTGTACGAAGTACTCTCCGCCCAACTGTGCTCGGTACTGTTTGCAAGTGTGCTCTTCTCCACTATACTCAGTACTCTTCTCCACTGTTCTCAGTACTCAGTTCTCCACTATACTCAGTACTCTTCTCCACTGTTCTCAGTACTCAGTACTCTTCTCCACGATACTCAGTACCCTTTGCAACTGTACTCAGTAGCATCGCACTCACCACTCTCCTGTGGCATATTTAGCACTATTTTCACCCATGCACAGCACTCTTCTGCACTGAGAACACAGTGCTCTAGTACACAGTATGCAGTACTGCCGTACACACATAAGCTGACTAATCCTCTGCTTGCAACAGCAATTGGGATCTTAAACCACCAGTACCCCGCCCTGCAAAAAAAATCCACCCTCCTGAATTCGTGGAGGTCCCTGAAGAGGCCCGGTAGAGGCTCGGGGCCAGTTCGGTGGAGTACCGTTTTGGAAGTGAAGAGGGGTTCAGGCCAGGCGGGAGGGCAGGGGGGGGGGGGGGGNGGGGGGGGGGGGGGGGGGGGGGAGGGGCATTTCGTCCTTTGAGAGAAGCAAACCTGAAAAGGCCTTGCAGTCGAAGCAAAATGCAGCCCTGAACCCTGAAACAGCTCTTCGTAAAAGAACGGAATGGCATGGGAAGGCGTCCAGCTTGTCGTGCTGCACTTTGTGCCTGAAGCCCCTTGGTGCTTACAGGAGATGACACTCGAAAGACTCGAAGAGCAGTCACTTTTGCGGAATGCGGAAGCATAACCTGTGTGTGGGAAGCCCTTCTGCCTGGTGCACGTGGGGCGCAAGTGAATGCGCACTGGCCTTAGGCTCTGACAACTGTACCAAGCCCGCTCGACAAATGTTCTAGAAAAAGCAGGAGCCCTCGAAGAGTGTTAGGCGCGCAAACGACTTCCAGTGATTATGATGGGCCCTGCTCCACTATTTGACATTCACACTTGAATGTGTCGGGACAATGGTGAGCTCCAGACACAGATAGAGTGTTGTGTAGCAAAGCGAGGCCTTTGTGCTGCGTGATCGCTGGCTGTTCCCTGGACATGAGTGCTTCACACGGCTAGTGTTATTGCATTGATAATCCTCTTTCTTGCTGAAGTCTTCACCACTGTACTCAGTCTCATGCCTGCATGCCGGGGTTTTCATACCCCCCTCACTCTCTCTTTTGAAAGGGCGATGTTCTTGAGATATCATCATTGGACTCTGACCGGCCCCGGGTATTTTAGAATCTGATTGCATCTGGATTCGAACTTTGGCCTGTACTTCAACAGCTCATGGGTGTACCAACTGGAATAGGCCCATTGGTATGTAGTATTTACCCCCTTCGCTCTATTCTTGCCCAGACGGTTCTTTTGATATGCACGTGCACCCCACTGATTTCCCTGATGCGTGAGGCCAATAAACACTCTTCTGCACTGCCACCCATTCGCACTCAAAAATGTCCCTCTATCCACCGGTCTCTCGCCAAACGTTTCCCTTTACCCTCTTCACTCTCTTCTTGCCCACGGCCCCACGCAGTTCTTTTGCTATGCACGCGAATCCCACAGATTCGGCTGCACTGCGTGAGGTGGAGAAACACAATTCTCCACTCCGCCCATTTCCACTCCACGCCCTTCTCTCCACTCGTCTTTCGCCAACCGCTTCCCTTAACCCTTTCTTACTTCAGCCCCTGTCCTCATTTGACCAACCACGCTTCGGTCCTTCGCCTTCCCCCTTCCCCCTCGACCACTCCCGGTGTATACTCCTCCCCGTGCATTCCTCTCCTCCCTAACATGGCATAGCCATTCTCATGCCATGACCACAGGGATTCTTCTAAGTCACTAACTACAATCCCATCTTCTCACTGGCATGCATGTCTCCACCAGCCTCTTCTCCAGAACCTTATCACCTCCTTGTCAATCGAGGGTCTCTCGATCGATTCACATAGTCCGAATGTGACCGTATGTTTCTAAACGCCAAGGGCATATATATTCACACCTCGGCTTTCGCGCCCGAATCTGGCCGCAATCGAAGTCAGATACGGAGAGAAAACCTCTGATCTGAGTATGTTCCAAGTTTCCCGGGTGAGAATGGTTCAGCCGTGTAAGCGACGCCTGGAGGAAATGCCATCGCCGTGCAAAATGCTCACGTACACTCGTCCAGGCTGCCCCACTCCCCTCATCTTGAATGCTCAGGCCCTTGGAGATAATTTCGGACCGCCTCTCCGTGCGCCCCGAGGCCTTTGAAAATCTCTGCAGTCTGTCCCATCCTCCTCATTCGGATCCGAATTCCTTTATCCTTGGCTATGCCCACCAGACTGACTCTGGCTTCGACCTGCACCTTGCTCATCAATACTTTTTTCTTGTTCCCTCTTTCTTCCTCTCCCTCTTTCTCCTCACTTTTCTGAAAGGGCGACTGCCTCTGGATACCATCATCGAGATCGAGTTGATGTACCCCACGTACTTCAGAATTATGTCACTGCGCACGATTCGAACTCGGGTCGAGCCCAGTTGGCACCCCCGTGGACAGCCTCTCGATACTTCAAACCCTGCAGTTTCGCACGTCCACTCCACTATGGGCCTGGTGTCCTAGACACATTTTGTTTCAGCCTGCTCGCTCCGCAGCCTCGATTATCGATCCCGCCTCGGCCTTTGAGGTACAGAAAAGCCGAAAAGGGCAATCTAACCGGAAAGGGATCGTTTGGCTCCAGGACAACAAAAAGGCACTCCTGATAAATCGATTTACGTTCCCCAACAGCCATGTGCAAAGTGCAGAAGGGCAGCACAACGCCGGTCCTCGATCCCACCTCGACGGTGTAGTGACGGAGAAAGGTCATCCAATAGGCAAGAGATGCGCAAGTGCAGGCAGGCAATTACTATTTTTTCTGGAAGAAAATAAAATAACACCGTCTGGTTCTCGAGTGTCTCAGCTTGCTGGCACCACAACCCCGGTCCCTTGATCTCACCTCCGTGTTCTGGCTACGGAAAATGTCAAAATCTAACAGGAAAGGGATCGACGGCCTCCAGATGCACAAAAAAGGCGCAGATGAATTGATTTCCAGTCCACAGCCGCCATGCGCACATGCATGCAGGCAGTGATGAGGGAAAATAAAATCGAAGTGGCTTTGTCCTCGCAGCAGATCTTGGCTTGTTGGTTCTGCAGCCCCGGTCCTCGATCCCACCTCAACCTTTCAGCTACGGAAAAAGGTACCCTCAGACGAGACTCGATCCCACCTCAACCTTTCAGTTACGGAAAAAGGTACTCTTAGACGCGACTCGATCCCACCTCAACCTTCCAGCTACGGAAAAGGTACTCTAACAGGAGAGGGATCCATTGGCTACACATCCACAAAAAAAAAAGGACCAGATAAATTGATTCCCACAATTCCCCACTCCACAACGCTCATGTGCAAGCGCAGGCAGGCAGTGATTTCTGAAGTAAAGGTCAACTGAAATGGCCTTGGAAGTTGGAACCCTTGTTCGCATGGTGCTCGCTTGCATTTTGATATTGCTTGTCTGTTGCTATCCAGAAGGGACAGTTGGAACTACACTTCTTTGCTGCAAAGTAGTGGGGCTTAAGGCAAAAGCCTGCGCGGAGAGTCGTAAAGTCAACTGAGTGGTGGGAGTTCCTGACACAGGCAAATCCCAATCTGCATGTCGAATCCGAGAATCGAACACACAACCAACAGCTTGTCAGGCAAACACCTAACCAATAAGCTAGGTGAGCTGGGGTGAAAGCGAAGCCCCAAGACGAGTACTTTACTCCACCCCAGCACGGGTTGCTCTGCGATACGGTGTACCCAATCTGAACTGACGTGCATGTCCAATCCAAGAATCAAACACACGGCCAACGGCTTGTCAGGCAAACAGGGACAGTTGGAACTACACTTCTTTGCTGCAAAGTAGTGGGGATTAAGGCGAGCCTGCACGGAATGCTGCTGCTAGCGCCAAGTCTGCGAGAATTGCGAAGTCAACTGAGTGGTGGGAGTCCCGACGCACGCATTCCCAATCTGCATGTCGAATCCGAGAATCGAACACACAGCCAACGGCTTGTCAGGCAAACAGCTAACCAATAGGCTAAGTGAGCTGGGGTGAGAGTGAAGCCCCAAGATGAGTACTTTAATTCACCTCACCCCCCCCACGGGTTGCTCAGTGACACGGTGTACCCAATCTGACCAGCTGGTATTGTACGGTATAAAAGAGAAGCTTTGCAGCCTTCCCTCGAGCTGAAACGAAACTGTCGATTTGTGCAAGGTTCAGGTATTCGCAGGAACACTCCTGACTTAGAAGTCTGGGCTGTTTAACACATCACTGATGGGGAGTCGATTTATCCCCTTCTTGACGCTTGTCAGCGATGCCAGCTTTGAGGAGACCTCAGCTTGGCTTGCATAAACTCGCCATGGGTTCGAAAGACAAAACCAGCAGCGGGCAAAACTTGCAACGTGCTGGAGTGAAAAATGTATTTTACTACGTACTCCTCTCAACGACCCAGCAGTCCGCTTCGCAAATCCGGAGTGTAGGCGATGGGAGCTTGCTGCTCTGTCTGTGCAGACGTCAGAGAATGGAGTGTGGACATCATTTGACGGACAACGGGCGGCAGGCAGGCGGCCACTAATGATGCACTGCCCGAGCATGGACGTCAATGGCATTCCCTGTGGACTATCACCATGAGGACAGGGACGTGTAGGTATGATCTGAGGTGTCACATGTATTGCCACCTGAGAAAATGCTTGGTTGAGTAATACACCTGGAGAATAGCACGGCTCGTCTTCTGCAGCCTTGTATAAATAATGTTTTGTGTATTTAATATATATTCTGTACCATGAGTTATGTACATTGCTACATACAAAAGCACTTTTGGAGCAGACTGTCGTACCCGAGCCATGACAGCTCACCAGGAGGACATCACGTCTCTCACTAGATCTCACTTCACAATGGCTTCTGGTCGACTCTGTGCCGTTTCAGAGGTCCAGTACCAGTTTGTGGAGAGCTCCATTCCCATGTGAAAACATGCTCCTGGTTTCCCATGAGAAATGACAGTTCTTGCCAGTCCGTCACGGCTGAATGAGATTCCCATGTGAAAACATGGATGGTCCTGACTTCAGGTCATGCTGGCTGAGTCAGTTACTCAATTCCATTGAAAACATGTCACTCACAGGCTGTATGTAACAGCACGCAAGTGTTTGCTAACACACAAGAAGGCCGAGATCAACTCACGAGGCATCGAACCCATGACCTGCCACCAAAGAGGTGCCACCAAACAGAAGTGTGTTCATGTAACTCTACTACTGGCAGCAACATGAGGTACAGCACTCTCGGTTCAGACGTAGAGCATACACTCGTGTACCTTTTCCGTGGATATATCCCTCACAGGAACCCATGTATGCTTCTGACCCAAGCGTTCTCAGACACGTTTTGCACACGCTCATGTTGCATACAGCACTCCGACTCATGCAAGTGGTTGAGAGAATGTATAGCAGGACTACACTCTGTTGATGTTGTACCTGTCGACGAACCCACGAATGGCGAGAGCAATAACATCCCGCAGGTGCTGTGACTGGACGACGAGGTCGACCTCGTTCTCATTATCCACAATGATTTTTAACCTTGTAGGGTCGTTCCGGAAAATGTCGACCTGTGATCATATAGCATTTCAACAGAAAAGAAGTCCGATTTTATTGTCAGCAACTCTCCGAACACGCTCCACTATTAGGTGCATTGGTCATTAGGTACCCCATAATTGTGTTGCTTTGGTAATGGGGGGTCCATGTTTGACGAGTGGAAACATCTGCTGGGAATGCCACAGGTGGGAGGAGAAAATTGCCGAGGGAGGGAAGAGAGAAGAGGATTAGGTGAAATGTATGGACGGGTGGAGTGTTCAGTGGTCATACACACGTTCAGTCTTGGCCTCGATTTCGTTGGTTTGGGTTGATGGCCCAGGTCCATCATGTTCCCTTGTCTCAGGTTGTACGAGTGGTCCGAACCACAGAGCTTGCGCTGTGCGGTAACACTCCGATGGGTTCTGCTTTTCGGAGCAGGTGCGGGCAAATGTGCTTTCCGCAATAAATCATCTGGCTTCTTATGAAGATATTATGGACTTCAATGAACTGCAGGCCCAGGTTACGGGTCTGTGGAATTGCCTGGTGTCATCGGGTGTTTATGGGCGGGCTGCGAGAGAATGTACTGCGACTGAGATTTCATATGGCCTCCCTTTTTGGGGAGACTAGGCCATACTCTGGGTGAGCAAACCACTTCCCAGGAGGGGCCGAAGGGTGGCTATGGGGTTTCCTTTTCCATAGCCTCCCCTCACTAAGCCCGTCAGATATGTGTGTGGAGAGAGAAAGAGAGAGAGAGAGAGAGAGAGAGAGAGAGAGAGAGAGAGAGAGAGAGAGAGAGAGAGAGAGAGAGAGAGAGAGGTGGCGACCACCTCTCACGACTCGTGACCGCCTCTCTCTCTCTCTCACGACAAACTCACCACTAAGCATGTGCTTGACATCGGTGTGCAATGGCGAAAACTATGTGTGTGCACAGGGGGGGGGGCTGTGTACTTGCTGTGCAAACATTCATCAATCACCATTCCAAATCCATCCTTAACACTCCCCATCTATTCAGAATCAAAATGAAAGCAAGGTTGGCCACATCTCTGAGGTTAATTGCCAAGTGCCCACACATCTGTGCGCCCCAAAAGTTGAAGTTGGACATCTGAAAAATGGGGCACGCAAGAAACGATACTCGCTAAACTGCACTCAACAGCCAAAAATAATCATAATTGAATGATAACTCACAAATTCCCATCGATTGTATACAACAAATTTCCATAATGAAGGCATTGCAAAATAAGCGCCTGAATGTCCTACCATGCCTGAATGTCCTACCATGCTGACGTATAAGCACCACCACTCCCATGTCCGCTGAAAAGCAGCACATATAGAAAAGTTCACACACCACTTGGAGCTCCACCGGCTGAATGAGTTAGGCTGCACCCAGAGCAGTGCAAATAACTCAACCCGGAGAGAGAGAGAGAGAGAGAGAGAGAGAGAGAGAGAGAGAGAGAGAGAGAGAGAGAGAGAGAGAGAGAGAGAGAGAGAGAGAGAGAGAGA